GCTGTATTCCATATGTTACAGAAATTGGAGGAAAGTGTAAACATGTTAAAAAGAGATGTGGAATATATGAGAAAACCCAAAACAAGAGACCAAAACAAATGTCCAGAGATGAAAAATATAATGTCTGTGATAAAAATTATATTGGATAAGATTAACAGCAGATCAGACTCTGGAAAACAAAGTATCACTAAATTTGAAAACATAGCAATAAAGAAACTATACAAAACAAAACACTGAGAAACAAACAAAAGTGCACCAACATCAGTGAGTTGAGGAACAAATGAAAGTGACCTAATGTACATGAAATTGGGGTTTTCAGAAGAAAGGAGGAAGAACTGAAGAATATATTTGAAGAAAATAAATATCCCAATTTGTTCAAATATGTTGAAAGCTATAAACCAACAGATTAAAGAAGTTCAACAAATTCCAAGCACAATAAACTTTATAATACACCTAGGCCCATACTTAACTTGCTCAAAACTAGTAATATAGAGAAAATATTAAAATCAACCAGAGGAAAAAAATATATTACTTCTAAAGGAACAAACATAAGAATGACAGCAGACTTCTTGTCAGAAAAAATATAATATCCGCGACAATGGAGCTACATCTTTAAAATACTGAACAAAAACACAAAAAATTCTATCAACAATTGTATGTCCAGCAAAAATGTCCAGCAAAAATGTTGCTCACTGTGAAGGGAAAATAACAATGTGTTCAGACATATGAAAGCTGAAATAATTCATTACCAGTAGAACCTCACTACAAAAATTATTAAACAAACTATTTCAAAGAGAAAAATTCTGAATCTATGTGAAAGAATAAAGAACAATGGAAATAGTAAATATGTGTGTGTGTGTGTGTGTGTGTGTGTGTGTGTGTGATACTTTTTCCCTATTTTTAAGAATCTCTTAGAGATAATGAAGGCAAAAAATAATAACAATGTATTGTCAGGTTTATAACGTGCAGAAAAAACGTGCAGAAAACATTTGACAACAGTATCACTAGTGCTGGGAAGAGAAAAATGGAAGTATACCGTTTAAAGTTTTTCTACTATGTATAAAATAGTTTAATATTACTTGTGATAAGTTAAGCATGCATTCTGTAAACCTCCTCTGTTTATCATGATAGCCAATAGCCACATTTAGCTCTTGAGCATGTGAAGTGTAGTCCAAAATGAATGTTCTGTAAAAATAAAATTCACACCAGATTTCAAAGACATACAAAAAATAGTATTAAAAATTTTTTTTTGAGTTGAAGTCTCACTCTGTCGCCCAGACTGAAGTGCAGTGGCCGCTCCCGGCCACTGCA